AGCCTGATACTGCTACTGGAGCCCCTTGCATCTGCTTTCAGTCCAGTCCTGTTATGTTCACCTTTAAATCTGAGGTTGTGTTCCAAGCAATATGCTTCTTTCTTGGCCAAGTACAAATGACATTTGTTTCAGCTAGCTATAGCTTTCCGGACTACTGCTGTGGCATTGTAGGATCAGCACTGGACTGCAAACCACAAGGTCAGCAGTTCAAACCCACCAGCTGTTCCTTGGAAACCCTATACAGGGTTGCTATGAGTCAGAACTGACTCAGTCGTGCTTAACAACAGCAACAGTCTCTCCTCCCAGCAGTTTAAAACTGTGAATAATGTCAAAGATACACACAATCAGAGGCAAGCAATTTAAAACAACACATTTAGGCTGTTAACCTACTGCTTTTAGCATCTCTGACTTGTAAGAGAGCAACCACAAGCAACAGAAGGGCATACAATACTATGCCTAATTTCAAGTCTCACTGCTCTATTATAATTAAAAAAGAGTCTGAGAAAATGTTCCAGGAAAGAGGATTATACTTAATGCCTCTGCCACTGGACTAGCCAATGCCCCAAAGTAAGTGTAGCCATGACCCACAGAGTGGACAGTCTTGCCTTCAAAATGGAGAAAAGCAACTTTAGGAGCTCAATAAGCTATTATTCCTCTCCAGGTAGTTCTTTATCAAAGCTTCAATTTAATATTTAGGATTTCCAAAATGTGAGTGACAAAGCTAAGTGTTCTGTGCCCCCATTCTGATGCCAGTCATTTCTAATATTAGCAGCAGAGCAGCTCAGGTTCACCTGGGAAAGAGAAGCTTTTATTTTGAGTTGAATAAGAGCAGATACTAAAAATGAACTTGGTGAGACTTCCCTCTGGTGTATATGACACACATAAAATAGATAGCTTGTGCAATGAAGCTATTTTGAATCACGTGGAAAAGAAATTCAGTCTCATCAGGTAAAAGATGTGCTTATAAAATTTTTATGTAGCCTTACTTGTTCAGACACTGGGAAAATAAACAAAATAAAATTATAGAAAGTTTCTTTATTGCATGATGTCACACAAGATCATAAAGTGTTCAGGAAAATTCCACAGCGTTGAATAAATAAGGTTCCAGGGCAGCTAATATCCCACTATCTGTTGCCATCAAGTTGAGTCTGGCTACCCCATGTGTGTCAGAGTAGAACTGTATTTTGTTGCTCTTAGGTGCCATCAAGTTGGTACTGACTCACAGCAAACTGATGCACAACAGAACGAAATACTGTCCAGTCCTGGGCCAAACTCACCAATCTTTGTTACACTTGAGCCCATTGCTGTGGTCACTGGACCAATGAATCTCATTGGGGGTCTTCCTCTTTTTCTCCAACCCTCCACTTTACCAAATATGCTATCCTTCTCCAGGGACTAGCCCTTCCTGATAATATGTCCCAAGTAAGAGAGATGAAGTCTGGCCATCCTGGCCTCCAAGGAGCACTCTGGCTGTACTTCTTCCAACACAGATCTAGTTGTTTGTTTGTTTTTTTTGGAAGTCAATGGTATTCTCCATATTCTCCTCCAACACCATAACTCAAATGCATCAATTCTTCTGTGATTTTCCTATGATGTTCCATAGGATCCTCAAAGAGTGATTTTTTTCTGAAGTAGACAGTCAGGCCTTTCAAATTTGTATGAGACACCTCTGGGTGGACTTGAGCCTTCAACCTTTCAGTTAGCAGCTAAGCACGTTAACTGTTTGTACAACTCAGGGATTCCACGAGGCATACACTTGATCATTATTTGGTGTTAGGTCTATAAAAGTTCTTGGATGCTGTATTTAGATTCATTAGATCAAAAGTGTCAAGCATTTGAGCTTCTATTATCCAGCAGAGCTTAAATGGATCAGAGGAGCTGGACAATTGCAACATTTCCACTTAGTATTATGTACACAACGACATAGGACAAAGATGCAGATGTGCTGTTTGTAATCAATAAAATTGGAATTCCAAGACTCACCCACTGTCCTGACTTAAAGGTCCTCAATTCCTCCTAGAGGAAAGTGAGCAGCAAAGTCTGCAAAGTAAGTGGCCACCATTATGTATCGAAAGTGCTTTGGGTTGTAGAAGTCTCAGAAACAGACTTACACCTGGGCAGAGTAAAGCAGGTATGCACAGAAAATAATTCTCAGTTTAAAAGCAACCACTTGAATTTGAAAAACATTTCCATGTATAGAAAGAATTAAAGGAAATTAAAACCAGAAGCTTAATGTGGGGACCTAATCACCCTACATTAGTATTTGTCATTGACTTTCCCTTGTATTGCAAAATCTTTTAAGGCGTTTGTTCCAGAAAACCTGGTCTGAGTTTTTAAACAGCAGTGGTAAGAAAATTGGCCACATTTAATACTTGCTATTTTGCAGTTTGTTTTTGCTGACAATTCTTAAGTTCCTCAAGTTTGGTCCTATAAACCACAGCTGAGTGATCATTCAGATTAGCTTTTAAAAGGAAAATCGAGCAGCCATGCCTACATTAGATGCTGCCATGTTGCTCAGAAAGTACTCAGAGATAGAACCCTGCCTTAGTTGAGTATGTCAGAAAATCTCTGTATTATGAAGTCTTAACAGAACTTTTTAAGGAGCTCTGGTAGCATAGTGGTTACGAATCGAGCTGTGAACCGCAAGGTCTGCAGTTCGAAACCACCAGCTTTTCTGCATGGGAAAGATGAGGCTTTCTGCCTCGAAAACCCTGTACAAGGTCGCTTTGAGTCAGAACCAACTCATGGCACATAACCACTAACATAGAACTTTTTAGCTTATTTTTTTTCCTCTTTCACCAGAAACTTTGTTTTATACCTATTATTCTGAATCATTGGAAAGTACTAGAATTGTGTGAAAACCTTTACCTAAAGCAAGGAGCCCTGGTGATACTGTGTGTTAAGCATTGGGCTGATAACTCCAAGGTCAGTGGTTCAAACCCACTAGCCTCCTCCAAGGGAGAAAGATGAGGTTGTGTGCTTCTGTGAAGATTGACCATCTCAGAAACTCTAAAGATCAGTTCTACTCTGTTCTATAGGCTCAGCGCTGTGGGTCAGAATCGATTCAATGGTGGTGAGTTTGGTTTAGGTTTACCTGAAGCTATTTCCCCATGACCCCTGAATAGTTATACAAATACAACCTTGAGATAGGAACCCCTCAACAGCACCCAAAGGCCTTCATGTGTTTCACTCTACTGTAATCACTCGCTTGCTTTCCTCTGTTCCTCACTGGACTGTGAGCTCCTTGAGGGGTAGAGAGTTGTGCCTTGCTCATCTCGGTATCCCCATGACCTTGTGTGTTACCTGGAAAATTGTGACCTCCCAATAAATACTTCTTGAGTTAAGAATGTGGAATGTCTGTTTAGAAAACTAAGTCGCTAGTATGTATGTTGTTGTTAAGTGCTGTCAAGTCGATTCTGACCCATAGCAACATTGTATAGGATTTCCAAGGAGCAGCTTGTGAGCTTGAGCCACAGACCATGCAGTTAAAATGACTTTGCAGTCTGATGCATTAGCCCACAGATATACGTATATATGTATATATAAAACATATATATTGAGTCAGAACTGACTCAATGGCACTTAACAACAGCATGTATATGTGTGTGTGTGTGTGTATATATATATATGTTTGTTTTGTTTCCATCTTTTGCTCTCTGTTTTCTCATGATAGAGCTTTTGTTTCTAGATTCACACTCTTTAAAATCAGTAGAATTTCAGACTACAAAGAAAGTTCTTTTGGTAGAACATCCTGTGGCTTCCCAAGATAATACTGGATGCATAATTTCTCCTGCAAATTATTTTCATGGGAGAGATCCAACTGTTTTTCTCACTTAGTGCTTCAAAATAGTCTTCCCATGCACCTTTATGAAATAGTTTCCTTTCAGTTGGACATATTTAATTAATTCGTTAAAATTGAGCACCATGTCTGTGAGGGGTTGAACAAAGTCAGAAAGCAGCTAAAATCACTATGCCTGCCATTTGTTTACTATGCAACACGTTTAGCATACATTATCATGTTCTGTTCCCACAAAAGTGACACTACTCGAATGCCACCAACATCAATGTTCTCCCACTTTACTAATAAAGGAATTATCCCAGAGAAAGGAACTGATTTCCCCAAAGTCACCCAACTAGTTGTGGCAATGGAGTAAAACCTCGATAATGGAAGAAAAGAAAAATTATTTTAAAAGGACTCTCTGATCTTCTTGTGGTCATTTTATATTGTCATATATTTTTTGAATCCATCTATCTGTCTATCTAGTTCAGATAGCCTAAGGAGAAACTTCACATTTATTCTTTTAATATCCTCATCCTTTAGAAATAATATACTCTTTTAGAATTCAATTTGTCACACAGCCAGTCAATAAACATGTATTAAGTACCTATACTATGTGCCCGCCTCTATTGATGAATAATGAGTCAATGGTTGATGAATAGCATAAAGACTTTTACCTTCAAGTAACTGACATTCTAGAAGGAAATAGAAAGACAATAAATATGTAAGCAAATAAATAAAAAAGATAATTTAGGATTGAAAAGCTACATCTAGTGGGGACATTTTTTTTCTTATGCTGAGCCTGAGCAGATTTAGGATTACCTAGTTCCCAGGTGGCACAAATGATTAAGCTCTGGACCACTAACTGCAAGATTGGTGGTTTGAACCCATCCACAGGCACCTCAGAAGAAAAGCTTGGTGATTTGCTTCCAAGAGGTTACAGCTTTGGAAATCCTATGGAGCACAGTTCTACTCTGAACACATAGGATTTCCATGAGTTGGAATCAATTCAATGGCAATGGGTTTGATTTTTTGGTTTAGTATCCAGTTAATGAATACAGAATTATTTTTCACAAGATGAAAAACTTGCCTCTATGGCTATGCCTCTACTTTAGTTTTGTCACAAATAATATCATTAAAGTGAGATATAATATCCATAGCAAAATATGTAGAGTTTCATCCGAGGAAATGATGACCATATGTTGCTTTATTTTTATTCTAGGAATCTTGGAAAATCAGGACTCAGAGTTTCTTGCTTGGGTCTTGGTAAGTAGTGGGGTATCACATGGGAGGTGGGCAGGGAGGTGGGAGATTGGAGAGAATGCCAGGGAGTGATTGCAGTGTAGATCAAGATCTGTTCTCAATTGCGAAGACTTCCTAAACAGCCTTGCTACATTTCTCCTTGTAAGAGTCTCCCTGCCCAATACAGCCCTCTCCAGACTCAAAGGCTGCTGTGTTCATGTGCCTTATTGGGAACTGGGAAAGGGGAAACAAATGTGATATTAAAGTACACTTCAGAGGAAGGCACCCATGTGCTCCTCCCCGTGTAGTGACTGGGAAGGACGGCATGATAGGTCTTTATATACTCACCTCACGCTTCACCTGATTTTTTTCTACCTTTATTTTCCTTTTGCCTAATTTCCTCTTTCATTTTTTTATATCATGTTATAGATTTTATATTTATTCTATCCCCATTGCCAAGAGTCAATTCTAACTTATAGACACTCTATAGGCAGACACTCTATAGGCAAAGCTATAATCTTTACAGACTCACGGTGTGGCACTGTAGGATAAGCACTGAACTGTGAACCACAAGTTCAGTGGTTCAAACCACCATCTGCTCCTCAGAAACCCTGTACAGAGTCACTATGAGTCAGAATTTAATTCCAC